TATTATACGTATCGAAAATCAAAATTCCAAACATATTATAATAGCCAGAAAATGTCAAGACATATAGCAAGTAAGCTAGACCAGAAACTGTTGAGCTTACATTCAAAACAAAACTTGGACAAAAAAGATTAAAGGTCAAAGAGAAACACAAGAGAAGCATATAAAAGTTTTGGGATCAAACCTTATGAGTATCGGAGAAACGGAAGTTACTCAGCCATGTCCTCCTCGTCATCATCATCGTCTTCTTCCTCCTCACTTAGGTCAAGGTCAGCAAGCAACTCCTCAATTGGAACAGATGGTGCACCTTCTCCATCTGTCATTGAAGCAGTCTCAGAAGCTTGATAATCCTTGTCCTTGTACAAGGATATGTTGAACCTTAGCTCAGGATTTTCTTCAAGATCCCTCAAAAACTCTTCGTATTCCTTGTCTGTCTTCTCTGGATCAACCCTGCCTCTTGAATCATCCATTTCCATTGGTAGCGACTTGAGCTTCCAGTTACGGGATTTCTTCTGCTTCCTCTCTCTCTGCTCCTCGTAACATTTCTTGATCAGAATTGCTTCTGGAAGCCCATTCTTCACACTCAGACGGTATTTCTCCATTTCATTGTCGTTCACATTGGCTCCGTAGATGTCATAACCCAGAGCTTGATCCCCCGGTTTCAGAATGTGTCCTAGATGAGTTTGGACATAAAACATCTTACCAATGTCTGATTCACGGGCTATCTGGACATATGATAGAGCGTACTTTTGCCCGCCAACAGTCGCTTCACTAACAGGTGGTTCAACATCGAACACAAAGTACTTGACAAGTTGTCTACTGGTGAGCGCAGATCGGAACCCAGACCTCCAGTACTGTCTCGCGTCCAAGAAGGCACACCTTAGAGTTCTCGGATCAAGTAGAGTTATGTTATCAGATACTTTTGTGCAAATCACAAGTGGGCCAAGGTTCCCCAAGCCGCTAGCAACTTTTGAAGGCAAGCATACAAGATCCTCACGGCAAACAGGACAGATCTTAACAGAGTAAGTGTACTTATAATTGTACAAACTGCTCTTCACATCATGAGACACCAGTTGTTGGTCCTGACGATATTCAATGGGGACAACTTTCCGCAGAAACTCCACAAAGCTATTAGCATGACTTTTATTCCCAAAGAAAAAATCAATCCCCTGATCCACCTGCTGGATTCTAATGGCACGTGAAGCAGCATCGTGCCTAAGAATCAACTGTTCGAGATAAAAGAAAGTCCTCCTATGCGAAACATGCTGCCTAAGCTGAACCAAAGCAACCCACTGATCAGGATTAGCCTGAAACCTCGAACACGACTCACACAGATTATCCCTCACCGTATACTCAACAGGATAAGACTGCTCAAGAACAGCACCGTTAAGAACCTCAGCTTGAACAGTCAACTTAACCTTAATCCTCTTGGAATGAGGCTCGGTCCAAACGAATTCCGCGTTCTTCAGCTTAACCTTATTAAGATTCTTCAACCTCTTGATACAAAAAGTCAAGAGCTCTTTAGATTCCCATTGACATTTGATCCAAGTCTTTGGTGGCTGTAAGTAACAAGTGCATTCAGGGCAATAGAAGATCTGAATACTCTTCTGTAAACCTTCGGTGATATCGACTTCGGAACGAAGACAATTCACACACATGTTAGCTGCGTTTGGTGCCATGGGAACACCACACTTGCAACACAAAACACTTCCAATGGTTTGTTGAACGTTAAACATGCCTGATTCATCCATTACTGACATATCTCTGTAAACAACACAATCAAATGATGAAAAAATCAATACAAGATCACAAATTCGATAACGCAACATCGTTTCAAAGAGATCAGAATCGGAATTAGGGATTTCTACACCACAACGAACAACAAACTCGATGAAACAAAATTGATTCCGATTAAAACTTTCTACGATTGATACAAAACCTTAGAGAACGAAGAAATGATAAAGAGGATGAGACTCGAAGAAGATTGCGTACCTGAGAAGGATTAGATCGGAGTTTGAGAAAGCGAAGGCGGCGTCGCGGAGCAGAGACGGTGAAGGTTTTTTTTCTTAAAACCCTAAAATGTTTTAGAAAAATGAATTGCTGTGTATATATGGCCTTTTATTATTAAATTATAAAAATAGTATTTCAACTGGATTTAAATCCACGCGTCATGACAGTAGTAGAACTCAAATATGTTATCAATTCAATCTTATATAAAAAATTATTATTAATTGTAAATTTGTTAAATTGATGGAATTTTTTTTTTATTATAAGGATGATTGGTAATCTAAAACGGTACAATTTTTTTAATAATATAAAAAATGATTAGTTGTTATGGAATAACGCAAAAATGTAAAAAAAAATGAAGAAAACGATATAAAAAAGTAAAAAAAATGGGATAAAAAAATATTCTGCATCGTTTAAAAGTTAATACCGTTTTGATTGTTTTTATGTATCGTTTTGGTTATCTAATTATTTTGGTTTTACCATTTTGATGACTGGTCATGATGAAAACGATAGAGCCTTTAACGCAGCGGTAAAATAGGTTACCAATTAAAGCTTATAAAAAATTTGCCACTATTTGAAATTTACTACTGTGGAATTTATTTGTAAGAAAATAAATATGGATGAGTAAATAGTCTAATTTTGAACATAAAATTAATGAAGTAGATAACTATAGTGGTAAATCAATCAGAAAATAATTTTTTTTTGTCTCCTTTTAAAATTTCCATTTAAGCAAACTAAGCAATTTTGCATTACAATCTATTTTAAACATTGATCCAACTGTACATTTTTAATCAGTTATAACGATATAGCATAGTTCTCAGTTCTCAAGTAGTATGCTAAAGTCTAAAAGACAGTAGTGTATCATAAGCTTACAACAATATGTATGAAATACCTTAGCAAATCAAGATCAAGATCACCAAACTGTGGAAAACAAAATTCCACACTCATTCATGATCATATAATATATGAATTTGTGATAAGGAACCTAAAACTTAATAATAAGGAACACAAAACTTACTTTGACCAATACAAGAACTCAATAGCGCAACATTGTTTCATTAAATCTATAATTTAATTTCTAGTACAGTTTGTTACCTAAACGTAACTTACATTTTGTTATAGTACAGTTTGTTAATTAACTTAATTTGATTTAAAGGTTCGAGTATTTCCCACAATTCAATGTCATTAGGTCAAACATTTCAGCGACTTGGGTCAACTTCTTTTCCGTGTTCCAAGACATGTGTCTCGACTCTCAGCGATTTCAAGATCATTGTCTCAATCTTGTTACTATTTTACTTATATGGGAGTATCAATTATAATTAAGTTTTTATTTTAAATATATGTACATCTTTTATAAAATTTTATTTTATAACGAGTCTTTATCAAGTTTTATATTAGATTTGAATTAGTGGTTATTTATCCGTTGGTCACACGAGGGTGATGATTGTGATTAGAAATGCCATGATGGAATAATCCAACCCAATCGAATCCTAGCTAGTAGATCTTGCTGATTGGCCTCGTACAGTTTTATAAAATGCAAGCCAACGTTGTAGACTTGTAGTCATGCAAGCCAGTTCAATTAGTCACACGTAATAAGACAGCTTTTGCAGGTTTTTATTTAGTACGGTCTAGTTGGTTTAGTCCTATAAAAGTCAGAGCATATCTGAATTCTGATCTTGATTTATATTCAAAAACATAAAAATTGCATGTGAGCTGGTATTGACAATGCTAGATCATATTAAACTACAAGCCTCAAAACAAATATTGATTGTAATTGCCTAGTTTTTTTTTTCTTAATATAGCCGAGTAGATTTTGAACCGAAATCCAAACTAATTTCTTAGACCAGTAAAAAATCGATTAATTTTGTCATTTAAAGCATTACATGTCAAGAAAAAACGATAAATGATATTTGTAAAAATAGTAAAACTCGATCACTGGCTAAACAAATCCATAAAATTCACTTGAACATACCCTTGGAGGCTTGGACCACATGTTCTTAGTTAATTGACTAGTACATGGATCAATGATGCCATTAGCAAATGTGTTTTGTAACAAACTAGAAAGTGATGTTCTCATCTTCACCCATTTGGATAGCACTTTTAAGTAAGTAACTTAGGCGTGTGAATGTCCATAAAGTGAGAGAAAAGAGCAAAGGGTTTTTGGCAAGTTTTGGCAAATATGATGTGATACTCCCAACAACTTTGTTTATATCTACTCGCAAAGAGAAGCACGCATAAATTAATATTAAACCATATGTCAATAACTTGAACTTAAATCTTTGAAATATTTTGTCTGTTAAAGTAAGCGAAATTTCTGCAAAAAAAACATCAAATATTAAGCTATTTCAACAGGAAAAAAAAATACTCTATCGAAAGAAACTATACGAACAAAATATTTAGGACTCATAATTGTGCTTGCGGATGTTGACACAATTTTTTTCAACAACATATATACGCAAGTTAGGTTTGGTTAATTTACTATTCATATGATATTGGGAGAACCGGAGATCGACCGAGATCGACGATCGAGATGATCGCCTAAGATTATGGAAATCATGAAGATCGAGAAGGATCTAGAAGATTATCATAACTTAGTTTAAGAATATTTACATTTATCTTTAAAGTATTATTTACATTTATATTTATCTTAAATTAGGAAACTTAGATTAATCTCATCTCTATATAAGAGAATGTATTTTGTAACTTTATTCTTATGAGAGTCTATTATAATTCTTCCTAAACACTTTTGTGTTCTTTACTCTCATCAATTTATCATATGATATTCGTCTAACATCTGATCAATAGGCTGTGATCGTCTCAGATTCAACATAGTATAACCGATTTTATAATATACATATATGGTAAAGGATTTCTAGCTTCTATAAGAGATTATTCTATGTTAGTTCTCTCTCTATATATATTCTTGAATAAGATGATATATAATATATATGGAAAACTTTTTCACGAAATTGTAATGGAAAATGGTAGATAAAGAACGTGGGATATAAGAGAAGAGAGACAAAAACAGACAGAAAGGCAAAGACTCGACAAATTGGGTTTGATGAAGTGTGATGCCAAACTTGTGTTTGTCCCAAGACAAACAACCCCGAGAACGAGCCTCAATGGCGTGAACCCCTTTTCTATACCTTGACATAATAAATTCATATATTTTTAATAAATAGTATCTTCAACCTTTTTTGAAACTCTCACTTTTGTGTTTCGTGCACTTATCTCACATTAGTCACATTAAGATATTATATACAAATATAATAGGTATATAGATAGATAGATACATATATGTGTGTTAGTTCCTTTTGGTTGATATAAAAGAAGAGAAGAAGAAGAAAAAGAAAGATAGCACAAAAAGAGCTTAACATAGCTAAAATCACTTTGAAGAATATGAAGCTAGTTAGAGTCATCTTCTTTCTATGTGCATTAGCCATTGTATTGCTTCTGACTCCAACTTCTTCTCTACAACTTAAACCTCCCTACTCATCTCCTAGCCAAGGTAATTAAGTTCACTTCTTCTTCTTTTTTTTTTGTCTTAAAACCGCTAAGTTTTGAATATGAAGTGTAAAGTTTTTGAGATAGAAATTAGAATGAGTTTTTTTAGATGTTGTCTTGTTTCTGAAAAACAAAAATATGTTCGATTAACCGATTGATAACTGACTTTACTAACAACAATACAGGTTTGAGCAAAAAGATTGTTACGAAAATGGTGACGCGAAAGCTCATGATCATCTCTAGTGAACATGTAAGAGATTGTTGTATACTATCTCATATTGAAACTCCAGTTTGATTTCTATGAAAAGTTTCTAATCAAACCTTCTCTTTTGCAAATCGTAGGTGATGACGTCAACAGTTCATGAAGGTTCGAGCGAACAACTTCAAGTCACTTCTTCAGGTAAATCAATCATTTGGGAAATGATATGCTTTCTTTACTTTCTTAAAAAGGAGTCTAAATTATTTATAAATTTCTTCTTCTTTTTTTCCTTAAAAGAAATCGCGGTAATTAGCAAACTCACATGACTTGAGCACACTTCTATTAGTCAAGCAAAGTCCTAACAAATATATAAAGAAGTCAAACATGTGAATCTTTGACCATGTCAGAAGAAAATGTTAATCAATGTTTTCTTCTTTCTTCTTCAGAATTTTGTTTTTATCTTGCTAAGTATAATATATATATGGGGCTTTTGCAAAAATGCCCATTTTTCAATATCACTTTTCAAAAATGCCCCTTCTTTAAAACCTTATAAAAAATGCTCTTAAAAATATAAGATTTACCCAAATATGTATGTAACATTATTAAAACATACACAAACTACATTTCTATGTATTTAAAATCTTATAAATACTTTATAAATACATTATAAATGCATTTTAAATACCTTTAAAAACCTTTAAAATATCTTGTAAAACCTTTGAAAAATCTTAAAAATCCTTTAAAATAACTTGTAAAACCTTTAAAAACACATTATAAAACCTTATAAATACTTGGATCGAGTCTTCAAGTAGTAGTTACCATCCATAAGTACCTTATAAACCTAATAAAACTTTATAAAAAATTCAGGTTTAAAAAAGGACATTTTTTAAAATGAACATCTAAAAGAGGCATTTTTGAAAAGGAGCACACTAAAAAGTGTATTTTTAACAATTTCCCTATATATATATATATAATTAAACAAAAAGATTATGAGATGATTTGTATATATATATAAAAAAGATTATAAAATTGTATAAAAGATTATGAAATTGTATTTTTAACAATTTCCCTATATATATATAATTAAACAAAAAGATTATGAGATGATTTGTATTAATCCTAGTTTATGCTTTTTACTTCACAGGAAGATCTAAAGGTGAAGAGAAGAAACTAAGTGAAGAAGAAGAAGAGAAGAAAGCTTTATCGAAATATCTATCGATGGATTATCGTACGTTTAGAAGAAGACGGCCAGTTCACAACAAGGCTTTACCTCTTGATCCATGAAAACATTATATTATTTCAGAATAACTAATAAAAGTTTTAGCTAGATGAATCAATTAATAATATTTGTTATTAGGATGGTTATTGGTTAATTGGTTGTATACAATTGAGGAACGTAGTAACGTAGTTTAGTTTCTTTGGGACCATTGAGGAACAAGTTTTGGCGATATTATTGTAATTAACGGAACATGTTCGTGTTATTTTTTATGTAGTTTTAATTAATGATAATGGCCGACAAAACACTAAAACTCTGGTTTGGGGTTTGAGCTTATTTGCTCTTCGTTTCACGCACCGTAACATGCCAACATGGTGGTTGAGTTGGTTAAAGTAATACTATACTATTGAATTGATGATACTTAGATATACTAACGAGTCCACGTAAATAGACACATATCAAGAAATTTGTTTTATAGTTAATAGTTTATAACGATTTTTTTTTTTTTTTTTTTGAATAACCGCGGGTCTTCCAAAGGTTTCTTAGGTCCAAGGACTAATCCCACGAGGCTGGCAATTCCCCTATGTAAACCTGCCAGTGGCCGTGCCTCGAACCCTGGTGGCGGAAGTCACAGCTGTGATCCCTTTACCACTAGGCCACAAGGCCCGGTTAATAGTTTATAACGATTAGTAACTACTTATTTGAAAAACAAAATCACGCGAAACTACTTGGTACTATTTAACAATTTCCAAAATTAGTCTTGTTCGTATTTTCATTCATTTTTCTTATTTTCTAATTAAAAGAATAAACCTATTATTTTGGTCAAAAAATATATTTTTACTTTTCAGTTATTAATTTCGATTATTTTGATTTTGATTTTCTGTTGTTGTTCAGGTGAAAAAGATATTCCAGGAAGTTATAAATTTTTCATGGACCATTTGACCAAACTGGGTCAACAACAAACTAAGACACAAATAAAAAAAACAAACCAGCTTTATCTATTGTTAGTTTTTTTTGTTTTCAAGTGTTTTCTTAAATCACAAACTACAAACCCTATATTTATCTTCTGCCACAAGTCAACATCGAACTCTCTGATCATTTTTTAATTCATCTTCTTATTTTACTTGATCCTTTCTCTTTACACGATAATGGCGAGAGATAAAGAAGAACAAAACAATGAGAACCCTTCGTCATTTATCAAGAATATTTCATTTCCATTCAACACCATTTTCTTGATCTCAACCGCAATCTTCCTCGTCACAGCCGCTTTCTGGTTCGTAACCGTCATAACATTACATTACAGGACCGATGAATGTAACCGGTTCGTCACAACTCCCGGAATCTTCATAAGCTTCTCATTGCTCGCTATGTCCCTCACTGGATTCTACGCAGCTTACCTCAAATCCGATTGTCTCTTCCGAATCCACTTCTTTATCTTCTTCTTGTGGATGTTCGTTGTCGTGTCTAAAGCCATCTTTGTCATCTTTCTACAAAAGGAGACCAATCCTAGGTTGTTTCCTGGGACCAAGATTCAGGAGTTTAGGTACGAGGATTACTCAGGATGGGTTAGTAGATTGGTCATCAAAGACGATGAATGGTATCGTACAAGGAGATGTCTTTTTAAGGACAATATTTGTAACAGGTTAAACCATAAGATGCCAGCTTCTGAGTTTTATCAGATGAATCTAACTCCTATACAGGTAAACGGTAGTAATAGAATATACCAAAAAAATTTTGGTTGAATAAATTTTACATTCATTATAAAAAAACGGTAGTAATAACCTAAGCTAAATCAAACCGAATCTAGTATGAATCGATTTTGATACCGGTTTTAATCATATAAAATCGGATCAATGCTTTTTATTTCATTCTAATCTTGTTTAACTTTTTCTTACAGTCGGGTTGCTGCAAACCACCACTTTCATGTGGATTGAATTACGAGAAACCAAATATGTGGACAGTTTCAAGATATTATAACAATTTAGAAGTTGATTGCAAGAGATGGAACAATTCTGCAGATACATTATGCTTCGATTGTGATGCGTGTAAAGCTGTGATTATTGCTGATTTACATAATAATTCATTTTCCATAACAATTAACATTATTCATATCATCTTTAGTCTTTCCATCGGCATGACCGGTTGGTTTGCCTGGTTAAGGATCCTTCGAGAAAGTCAGAAATAGAGATTTGAAAACGCGACCCTATAGGTATACATGTTATCCAACATTTTTAATATAATCTTCTTCTAGAATAAGAATTAGTCCCTTTTTATACGGTTCAAGAGTTTTTCATTCGTCACCTCCTAACAGAAACATCTATATATGGGTTTGTTTTGTGGTTTGGAGAAATGAGACAGTGTTAGAAGGTATGAATCTAGAGACACACAACATTCAACTCGATGAATTTCGCATTGCAAAAAGAGACAAAAACAAAAATGACGGATTAATTAAATTTGAGATTACTAGATGTCACACAAGTGATGTTGTTAAGACCAGATGGACATCCGAGCAGATTTGGTCATAAACGGGAAGATAAAGTTATATTGTATAATGTTTGTGTACATTGGTGTTTGCCAGGGCCAATTGATATTCATGGGACGATTTTTTACTAGACATGTTAAAAAAATAGAGATTTAACGAGATTAAAATAGTAGAATCTAAATTTTCTCAACAAAACCCTTTCTGTTCATTTGTAATTATATACTAGTATGTTTGGTTAATTACGATATGGTATTTAGAAAGATCTCTTCTCTTTTTGGCACAATTTTCGTAATCAATGAGATATAAACTTTAAGTAATTTCAGATCTTAATTAACACATTGAATAGGGACAATTATTAAAATATACCAAAAATTATAGTAAAATTAAAAAAATATACCAAATCTTTTAGAATTAAATAACTAGGTTTTTTTTTAATGAAAAGTCAAAAAACTCCTTGTTAAATTCGAAGAAGATTTCTGTTTTTTTTTTAAATTTAACTACAAAATAATAATTGGGAGTTTATTTTTTTAAAGATCTTCATTAAACAAAAAACACAAATAAAAATAAAAGAAAAAAGAAAAAACAAAGTAAAAACAATTTGATCATCGTCATAAACTGTTTTTGCTATTTCTCTGCACATTTTACTCTCTCGAACAATCTTCATAATCCCCATTAAATCTCAGTTCCTTTCATGAACCCTAACTTTCGTCATCCACTTTCTCATCCAAAAAATTGTAATTTCACTTTGTTCTATCTCTAATTGCATCTAACGGTTATATCTGATTCGATTCCTCCCTCTTTCTCCGGCAAATTTCGTTGTCTCAGATTCACATACTTTAAACAAGTGGATCTAAAGTGGAAGAAGAAGAAAGCTTGTGGATCTAAGTGCCTATCACGGTGAAGAGAATTCACTTGGTAAACTTTGAATTTCACATACTTGAACTACCCAGTTATTTAGATAGGTTTTGTTTACTAATTTTGTTCTACAGTTATTTTATTATTGATGATCAGTTTAAAATATAACGATCCACTACCAAACAAAAATTTGGACAAAGTCAAAAGCGTCTTCTTCTTTTTAATCCGATACAGAGAACAAAAGCAAAGTAGGAACCACAAAATGTGTTGTGGAACATTTTCTTTTAATCTTGTTCTTTATTATGGTTTTCAGTAACCATATTTTTTATTTCTTTCTTACCCAATTATGTAGTCCAATTACATAGATTACTCTTATTAATATGTTTGATTTAGGTATAATGCAGGATTTAGTTGGAGATGTCTACTACTAATGAAGATTCTTTCAGTTTACCAAGAAAACTCTTTGAACCAGATACGGAACCTACACTTGATGATCATATCAACTATAAATCTCGTCTCAGTCTCTTTGATGAAAAGTGGGATAGGCATTTTAAAAAGGAGTTAGATTACATTAAGGCATCTCCTTTTGGGGATATATATCGGCTAGCAAAGGACAATAAATTCGTTTGGTCAGGTACCCTTGTTCATTTTCTTCTTGCAAACCAGCTAGTAACAAACAGAAAATATGAGTTGTGGTCTCTTTTTGCTGGGCAACCAATACGCTTTTCGCTAAAGGAGTTTGGATTTATAACTGGACTTTCATGTGAGCATTATCCCACTGATCATGTGGAAGATAATGAAGAAGTTCCGAGCAGGTGGACTAAGATGTTAAAGTCCAAAAGTATCCATCTTTACAGAATTTAGAAGAAATGGCTTTGGACTGTAGTGGATGGAGTGACGATGACCGGATTAGGCTAGCATATCTGATGATATTGGCTGGAATTTTGTTGGCTCGTCATAAAGGAACTCCTTTACCTAGGAAAACCATAGAATTGGTTAGAAATATTCATAGGTTTGAGAAGTATCCATGGGGTAGGACTGCTTTTAAGATTCTTATTGATTCAGTTCATGAGGTAAAAGATGATTTGTGTCAACCATCTTATGCCATGGATGGTTTTGTCCAAGTTCTCCAAATATGGGGGTATGAGGCTGTTCCGATGATTGCCAAGAAAGTTAAAGCTCATGCAGAAAATGCAATAGATGGTTCATCTATATTAAAGTGGAAGGGATCTAGAGCAAGAATTGACTATTTTAGTCTCGAACAGAATACGGACAAGGTACAATTCTAATATCATTTTTTTTATCCTTAGATGTGTTTTTATATTAACTTTTTGTATAATATTAATAACATATCTTTATGTTGTAGGTAAAGGTCAATGCTTTTCTTGTAGACGAGAATCCATTAAGTATTTTGGCACCCCAATGGAAAGATGAGATCCAAGACCCATTGGTGAGTAATCTCATTGGTGGTTTATTTTGCACAACGAATTTTGAAAAGAGCATTTGGGTTGGTCATGGTTTGAAAGAAGGACCACCACGTAAGGAGATACTAATCCCAGAAAAGAGGCGGAAGAGAAGAAAGATGTGTAGAGTTCTTAACGAGGAAGAGAACGAGGAGTTAGTAACTCGATCATATCTTGATTCATGCATTAATGGGCTTCATAAAGCCATCTCTGATGGTTTTGATGGACTGAAAATAAAAGTTAAAAGTGTCGACACCAAGATAAGTGAACTACAGAAGCAAGTCAAGACAATGCAACAAAGTGAACTTCCTAGTGGCAAAAATCAGTCATTGTCAACGGCTTCATCTCCAGTCATAGTCCGCAAATGTACCAAGGTCGGTAAAAAGAAGAATTAATTATGGTTTTCTGATTTTGCTTTGTTATGTTTATCGATCTATGTACTGCTGTGTTGTCTAATCATGTATTGCTTAAATGTATCCTTAAACTTACTAGTTTAATATTTAAAGTTAGATGGATTGTAAAATGTATTAATGTAACTAGGGTAATTGATGACACTGGAATGTATAATATGAGATATGTGATGCATTTATATTACTCATGGTAACTATGTTAAAAGTTTCTCTCGTCATTATTTTGCAGACAATAAAATATGATTTGCGAGATGAGTTTGAAGAGAATATTCCTCAGATTTCGGTGAAAGTGAATAATTTGTATCATTTAGATAACATGGGTAGTGGTGGTAATAAAAATGGTGAAGAGAAAAAGGATGATGATGTGCAAATTACGTTGGCAATTCCATCTTTAGAAAAGAAGGTTGATTTTGTTCAGACTGTGTTGGCTACTTCACCATTGGAGGAGAAGGCTGATGTTGTTCACACTTTTTCGAGGAGTCCGCCATTAGAGAATAAGGGTGACTCTGTTCAATCCATGTCGATTTCATCTCTAGAGAAGAAGACTGCCTTTGTTCAGACTAGTTTGGGGAGTCCACCGCTAGAGAATAAAGGTGATTTTGTTCAGACTTTGTCGGAGAACCTACCATTAGAGAATAAGGGTGATCTTGTTCCATCCGTGTCGGTTCCATCTCTTGAGAAAAATGATGGTTTTGTTCAGACTATTTTGGCAACGACTTCATTATTAGAAAAGAATGCTGATTTGGTTCATGCTTTGTCGGGGACTTCACCATTAGAGAAAAATAATGATTCTCTTCAATCAGTGTCGTCAGCTCCACCTATGGAGAATAATGATGATTTTGTGCAACTTGTGTCACCGACTCCATCATTGGAAAAGAACTTCAAGACCAGAAAAATGCGGTTGGTCGAGGCTAAGTTTGAGGAGTTCAATGCTATGTTACGTGCTCAGCTGGAAAAAGACAGAATGGAACTTGGATTGGGGCCATCTCAAAAACTTTTATCTGTCCCCCGTGATAAGAAAAAGAGTATAAAGTCTCTGTCATTCTATGATCCGTTTGGACCTATCGATATGTCAAAAGTAGATGCACTAAATGAATGGAACAAGCTCGAAAGGTTAGTGAAAATATTGTCAATAAGTTTTTTTATTCTTTTTATATTATATGTATTTAGTATGATCCTTTTCTTTTACAGCAATGAGCTTGATCTTGGCTTTTACAAAGTTAAAAAACAGTTTTGGGAAACTCTAATCATGGATAAGAAATGGCTTCACACCGGTGTAAGTAATAGTTATATGAATTTTATTAAACATTTTGCTTAATCTGTTAAATGTATATTATTGAATTTGCAGCACATGCATGCTTAACATTTCTTCGGAGAAGATCGCTTAAAAATCCGACGCCATTTCGAAGTGAAAGAATGCATTTCTTAGACACATATTTCAGCCACTTAATTTGTACCGGGTACCCAGAGTTTTTGAAGAACACAAAGGACTACATTTGGGGACATCAACTAATTGATTACTACCACGGTGTGTTTCCGGGAGATGTTCAGACAAAGAAAAAGTTTTTGATAGATGTGGACGACCTCTATACAGTGATAAATCTTGGCAATGGTCATTGGGTTGCGTTGGCTATATCACTTGTGAAAAGACAAGTTGTCATATATGATGGCCTGATATCACATACGAAGGACGACGTCATGAACGCAAAAGTAGCGCCATATGCACACATGATTCCACATCTAATTAAGAAGTTGTCAGGTAACAATAGGCTAACAGACACGAAGTATAGAGTACGAAGAGTTCAAAGGATACCGCAGAACCTTCAACTTGGTGATTGTGGTGTATATGCAATCAAGTACATTGAGTGTTTGGCTTTGAAAGCTGATATGAAGCTGGGACTTTCTGACAAAAACATAGGTAATATCAGAAGAAAGTTAGCAGCAGAGGTATTCGATGAAGCTCGCGATAAATGATAACCCGAGTTTTTCATCTTTCCGTCTGTATTTCTTTTCAATTGTAAAAATTTGTAGGCTCTCACATTTCTAAGTTTATCATAATGATCACCAAGATCAACATGATCTCTATTTTCACCACGAGTAGCAAATAACTCATCAGCGACCTGAACTTTATGATTCTCACCACTCGTAGCAAATAACTCATTGACGAGCGAAACTTTACGATTCTCTTCGCCTTTTCTTTTCACTGAAACACAAAGTCGGACAGTGTTAGATTTGCAAATTTCAATGAAACTCCTTACTTGTCGATCACTTGTCAGAAACACAGGAGGAGGCGTTTCATTTAACATATTGCCTAACATTATCTCCGGTAGTGCATAACTAAGTTCAACATTATGCACTGAACTATCTAACTGATATTCTTCTTCAGCTATCTGAAGTAGTCCGGCATACGACATATCATCCACTAGAACGAGTAATTTGCAGCCCTTGGTTTGATCTACAATTGTATGTACCATGTTTCTGTGGAAATTTTTTTTACAAATTAGTTTCACACTTTACATTATAACTTTACGAAACTGACTTTACATAATAACTTTACCAAACAACTATACTTAAAATCTATATAATAATTGTGTGAAACTAAATTATTAGAAAACTTTGCAAATTAACTTTACCTTAAAACTATAGCAAACAACTGTATTCTTAAATCTATATAATAATCGTGTGCAATTAAATTATTAGAAAAATTTGCAAATTAACTTTACCTTAAAACTTTAAGAAACAACTATACTTAAGATCTATATAATAAATGTGTGAAACTAAATTTATGAAAAAACTTGATAATTAACTATATTGAAATACTTTATTAAACAAATATACTTAAGATCTACCAAACAACTATCAACAACTCAAACTTTTCTCATACTACGAGATCTACAACAGTTTGCAAAAACAGTTTTCCAAAAAACTAGATCTACGTTACAACTTTTCATGGAATAACTTAAATACGCTCCTAATAACAACAACTCATGCACGTACATAGATCTACGTAAAACTCATAACAACTTTTTTCAATAACTTTACCTAATAATTCTATTAAACTAGATCTACGTAACAGTTTTCCAACAAACTTTACCAAACAAATATATATTAAACTTTATATAATAACTGTGCAAAACTTTCTATATTATACTCTACTAAATAACTTTTTCAAAGAACTTTAGGAAAGACTTCATCTTTAAATAACTTTTCAAGAAATTTATGTACATAAACGTTATAAAGAATATGAAACTATGCACAATACTTACTTTTCTGTAGAACTGACAAATTTTTTTTTAATGTAGTTTGGTTTGATAAACACTTATATATACGTAACTAACAACACAGTTCACATAGGATTAGGGAATTAATTTAGAGTTATATTATTAAAAAAATTTCTAGATTAGTTTGTCATATTCTCAAGATTTTATCTTCAAATTTTATCATAATCAATAAAAAATAAAAATTCAAAAAATATCTCTAACTAACGTGTACTAGATAGAATTATAAACGTTAATTTAGAGTTATATTATTAAAAATTATTCTAGATTAGTTTTTTTTTGGTAAGGAATTATTCTAGATTAGTTTGGCATATTCTTCAGATTTTATCTTCAAAATTTATCATAATCAATAAAAATAAAAATTCAAAAAAAAACTCTAACTAACGTGGCTGTAATTTGTTTTTATGTTAAATCATATCATAAGGCTAATTTTGTCTTTGTTAGTGTACATCTTAAATTCTAAAAGATATGGCCTAGATTAATAATTTTGGTTTGTTTTTAGATTTTTTTCGTAATTTTCCCTTGAATATTTAATTATATGGATCTAGTAAACTGGTATAAATAACTAATGACATAAAGTAAAACTTGAATAATCGGTTATATATTCAAAATCAAGTCAACGTTGTCCAAGTAACATGTCAACCGTACGTACATTCATGCGTTTTACATCAAGAGGTCCATGCAATGATTTTAGAATTCAAATAAATAAAGTCTATTTGAATTAGGAAAATAATCTATTTGAAGACTTATTTGACAGAACATTAAAATTTATTTAGATCAAAACCCGTGCTACGCCGCTGTATGTTGTTTATTTTTAATTTAATATAAATATAATTTGTAAAATTTAAAAAAACTTTTAGAATTCGATGTTTTATCTTGTTTTTTTAGATTCTACCAATTTTTACTTTTCGAGATTAATTTGTTTTTTATGTGGTTAGATTTTGTAATTATAATTCTAGTCTATTTTTACCAACATTAATTTCTAATAAAAAAGGTGATGTTGCAAAAATAAAATTATAGTCTTTTCTTCAATTGGTAATTTTTATTGATAGATTAATTTTAAATTTGTAATTGATTCCCACATTTCATGGATCTTCACGATTGCTAATCTCGTCCTTTGTTTGAACTTTGAAGTCGTTTTTGATTGGCCGAATAGATCAATTTTAAAGTCGTGATATATATGAAATCTGGGACACTTTGGAAGCGTCCAATATATAATTGATATATTTGTTTGATACTTAAATTATTGAGAAATTCCCCAAAATAGCAGTAAAACAAGTTTTATGGACAATTATAGCACACACTCCATAAACTTCCAAAAATAGCATTAGTTGATTAACTATTAAGTTTTTGTTCTATAATTATTATCATTAGTTTATTTTTTTAATAATATCATATTATATTTGGGTTCTTTAAATTAGAAATAAATTTAAAATATTATATTTGGGTTCTTTACTTCCAATTTAGGGTATATCTTTCCACATGTAAAAGAGATATTGATTTATTTTAATATTAAATTTTTGTTATTATGTTTGGGTTTATTAATTCCAATTTAGGGTATATATTTCCACCATTTAAAAAGAGATTTTGATTTATTTTTAATATTAGTTTGTGGGATTATATTTGGGTTCCCTCATTCCAATTTAGGGTATATATTTCTACCATTTAAAAGAAATTTTGATTAAATTTAATATTAGGTTAGTGTTTGCTCTTATTTTCTATTTTGATTAAAGTTTAGGGTGTTATTTGTGGAATTTTAGAAATGTTGTGCTAATATTCTAGTTTAAAATTCAAAATTAAAAGATTTTGTTAATACATTTTTTTGTTAAAAGATTTAAATTAATGCAATATAATATCATAATCACAATTAAAGCAAAGACAATAGAAAAACAAAAACTTTCAGTTGTTTTATATAAAAAAAAACTATCTTTTAGTGACCTCGCCTTCATATCCGAATAGACCCGAATGGGTCTCGCCCTCCTACCCGAATAGACCCGAAACTCGAAAAAAAAAAGAACTGATCGGATACGGGTACCCGAATGCAAGGCCTACTAAATTTGTTGAACAAAATATATTAATATGCAAAGTGAATGAGTGATTAAACATAAATGGGAGGAAAAAACAATTAAATAAACTAATTGGGCTTTTTGGCAAACTAAACCAAATTGGACCAAGAGGAAAACTACAAAAAATAACACGTGGGGAGAGAAACAAGTGAAAACCGACAATCGGACAGTGATTCAAATTCATAACCAGTATCACGTATTCACGTTGGCTTCGTTTGGCTTCTAACCAAGAACCGTACGCTCCTGTGACGTTTCTAAGAGATTTTGTAATTGTTAGTTCCCTTTTGGGATCGATTTGGTGTCGGAGGTAGGAAAATCAGTGATAGGCGTTCCGGAGAAGTCGCAATCTAAAACCAATTCGATGCAGGTGTGTGTCGAGCTCTTGATTTGTTTACTTTATTGGCTCATTTGATTCGAGATGGGTTTGTCTTGATTAATAGAATTTTTTGTAGAGCTTACGTATCTATGTTAAAACACTCGTTTTTCGGAGTTGTGTTATTTATTAAAAAAAATCATTGTGACTTAGTAAATTGCGGTCCAATTCAATTCATGGTGAATGCGTTTTATGAATAAGGTATGTAGACTCCGTAAATCTCTTTACGGTCTCAAACAAGCACCAAGGTGTTGTTTTGCGAAACTTGCGACGTCTTTAACAGCTTATGGTTTTGACAAGAATGAAGCTGATCATTCCTTGTTTACTTTGGAAAATGGCAACGATCGGTTAAACGTACGTGTTGGTCTACGTTGACGATCTGATTATCACGGGTAGCTCTTTGCGTGTTATCAACTGCTTCAAGGAATATTTCCGTACAATTTTTCACATGAAAGACTTAGGCATCTCCCAATATTTCTTAGGGATTGAATTGGCAAGGAGTCCTGAAGGAATTTACTTATGTCAATGAAAATACCCTCTAGACATCACTGAAGAATCTGGCCTTCTTAGAGTGAAACCCGTCGCGTTTCCTCTTGAGCAAAATCATTGTGACTTAGCAAATTACTGTCCAATTACGGAGTCTACACACCTTAAGCTGTCAAAGACGTCGCAAGTTTCGCAAACCAATACCTTCCGTCTGATAGTTTCCAAGAACAACTAAGCGAGCTTTATGGCGTTTAAGAGAGCCATCAGAATGAAACTTCAAATGAAATACCCATTTGTACCCAAATGCTTTATCCATTTGTGGCAAATCTTTTATTATCCATGTGTCGTTATCTTCAAGAGCAAAGATTTCATCTTTATCAGCAAATCTCTAATTTTCATCTTCAATAGCATCCTTATAATGTTTTGGTTCCACTACAGAAGTTATAGCAAACAAAAACTTCTGATATTTCTCTGAAAATTGACTGCTGGAAAGAAAATTGTCAATCGGATATGGAGTAGCTGAAGGATGAGGTGTGTACAGAAGAGGAGCAACACAATCTGCATAAATTTTATGGTATAAATAACTAATGACATAAAGTAAAACTTGAATAATCGGTTATATATTCAAAATCAAGTCAACGTTGTCCAAGTAACATGTCAACCGTACATACATTCATGTGTTTTACATCAAGAGGTCCATGCAATAATTTTATAATTCAAATAAATAAATTCTATTTGAATTAGGAAAATAATCTATTTGAAGACGTATTTGACATAACATTAAAATTTATTAAAAGAATAATAGTTCATAGCGTATGAATACAAATTATACAACTTTACTAACAAGAAAACAAACGAAAATAGTCAACCCACCATGAAAACGCTACCGTTTCTAATTGGTTTAAATGTAAATCACCGGCGATCAACGCTACCGGTAACAAGATATCCAATCCCGTGACGCCTCGCCGGAAAAACCATAAACAAAAGGCTACACATAACCCCAACACCCACCGGAACAATATCCAAGACATGTTTCGTCTCTGCCTCCGGCGACGGACAAAAGCAATCAGTTATATATTTATCTCTCAACGCAACCGCTCCAAACACTAAAACCGACAACGTAGCGTGGATCCAATCAACGACCCACATCCGATATTTGGCTAAATCGGGTGTAATAGGATAAACCGGTAACCGGTTTAGTTTTCTAATTTCCGGTTCACTAATCTTCTTTGGTCATTTGTTTAGACCACCAAACTATCGTAACTCTATATGTAAAGGGTTTTAGCCATTTTCTGAGAAGGAATCAAAAACACAAACTATCTTCTTCAATCTCCTTTATTTCTTTCGATCATCATCATCTTCCATTAACAATGAATCTTAGATCTTCGAGGTGATCCTTCACCTTCTGGGCTTTGATTTGCCAATCTCCGGGTTCTCGGTGAATCTCTGGATTGGATTTATCTTACCTTATTTTTACTGTTTCATCGGGTAAACCCAACCCGGACAGGTCAGGATAGTCAACGACCCACATGCCTTTGAACGTGACGAAATCGAAGTAGATAGTTACATCCTCGGCTTTAACGCTATCGGTGAAGGAGCTGACGAAGCAAGACGCGGCTAAGAGGAAGAGGAGAACGGCGTTGCGAGGTCGCAAACGCCGTTTGAAGTGAAAACCAGCGTTAGGAGTTGAAACGCGAGGAGTGTTCCCGTCGGGAGGAGGTTTGAGAGATTGGCTGCTGACGTCAGGGTGTTTGACATGGCTCGCTGAGACATTGACATCTGTCTCTTGAGCACCCGTGATTCTGACGGTATCTGATCGGAAAACTCGTCAAGCTCCGGAGCTGGAGTGTTTGCGTTTCTTAGCCGAAGGGCAGACAACTTTTAAAATTTTGATTATTTTTTGGTTTTGTTGGATTGAGCATGTGGTTGATATTGGTGATGATAATGATGATGATGATTTTTTATAGATGCTAAGACATAGAAACCAGCTAATTAATCATAACTTAGTTTACGCATAATGGATTGTCTGTATTTGATTAATCTCTCGGTTCCGTTAACTTATACGATTAACATTGTACACAAAAAATAATACCTAAGACTTTTAAAAGTTTTGAACTAGATAGATAGAACATAACACCAATTGAACTAGATAGAAGATGAAAAGAAACCCACAATGCATATTGTCCTAATCATACAAGAGCAGATTCATAACTAGCACAACGCTAAGAACATCGATGGAGCTAGATAAAATTGTGTCATATATATATAGCTAGAGTCATGCAGCAACCCGCCAGTGTTTATTATCCTAGTCCTACAAGATCAGATTTCAGAACTAGTTAAGACTACTAGATGCAACCCACAAAAGGCATATAATACTAATTGTTTATCTTAACCAAGATTACTGCTTGTTTCATATAGAACATTACTTGTGGAGGATGGGCTGAATCCAGAGATCAGAAATCAGTCCGTCATAAGAGAGTGTTGAGAAGGTTTGGTCGGGAATATTGTAGAGATAAACCTGATTCAATTCAAAGAAGTAGATGGAGTTGGGCTTAAGTCCGGGATACATGCTTGCGGGGACACAGAAAGGCTCGTTCCTTCCTAAGAAGATGCAGAGATCCCCAATGTCTTGGACATAAGACTCCACCCGTGTAGTTGGATGACGCATATACAACATGAACCACCTAGTCCCGGTTTTCACCACCGAACGATCCAAGTCTCGCGTCTCCCCAGGGAAGACGGGTTTCCCCTTAGAGGTTTGCAAAGCATATTTGACAATGATGAATAAATCGCCAGAGGGTGACTCCACCAAGTGTTTGCTCCGAGTGCACCTTCTCAGAAGCTCGAACTCATACTCTCCCATCTTTGGATGGATTAAGGGTCCGGCTTGACGGTAATAAGTCAGGTAAGAGAAGCAAGGTTCGGGCATATTCCTACCGTCCTTGCGGAAGAATGTATCAACGGGAGGCGTGAGATAAAAGGTGACATCGTTATTGGAGTAGAAAACGAATGATTTGCTGGCTCGGCTGGAAAGAGACAGCTCGTGGCGCCATTGACCGTCCCTGATTGAACAGTAGGAGACAAAGCTTCCCCAAAATTTGACGGCTAGGATACATTCTTGGTCAGGGTTATCAGGGGAAGAGGAGAGAGAGACGTTACGAACCTGATAAGTCGCCATGGACTTTGAAAGGTCAGGAGCATGGTAATAGGGAGTTAGAAGCATAGGGAGGGATATGATTCTGTGAGTGGATTTGGGAGCTGAGGGATTGAACATGTTGGTGACATGTACGGTTAGATCTTCTTCGTTCATTCTGATCACCCAACCACGAGAAGATCCGATGTTGCGTGAAAGGTAGATGCTTTCAGGGATCCTCTGCTCTGCCAGCGTCACTCGTGTCTGATTCATTGGGGAGTAGAAGTTGAAATTCGCGATTTTGTCTCTATTTCTTTTACCGGGAGATTTTCTGATACCATCCACTGAGAGTAGCATATATGGAGCTGGTGATAAAGATGACGTCGTCAACAAGCGCATTCCTCTTCGAATCTGACATCGACAATCACAAATTCATCAGAACAAAACACACAGGAAAGATAAGAGAAGAAAAGAGAAGAGAGGGAGATCAAAGAACCCTACCCGCGATTCTCCGACACCGGCTACTTTCGCCATTCTTTTCGCCAAAAGAAACGACGACATTTTTGATTATTATCCTCACTCTTCCTCCTCCTCTGTCTCCAAATTTAGGGTTTGCTTGGATGTCGATTGATTTGTTTCCGTCTACTGTTGCTTGATAAAGAAGATGACGTCGTTTCGCCATCTACTGTAAATGAGACACATGGGCCTTTAAGTCCTAAAACAGCCCATACTAGGATCCTCTCAATTCGCTTGGGCTTCTTCATTTATTGCCCACTTCGGTTGAGCCCACCTTCTGCATTTTTGGCGTAGCACCTTTAAACCAAATTGGCTTCCCTTTGCTTGAATACGTTGCTTGGAAAACGTTAGACTTTACTTTTGAATTAATCATCATCGGTTATCCAATTTTTACGTTATGTCCATTAGATATTCATATCATATTTTTAAAAATTTAGAGGGCTAAAATTTACTTGCATATGCGTTAAGGTCTGGATTTATCGAAAGTTTATCATTAAAATACTACTTATACAATAGTTTTAAATTTTAATAGTCCACATCCATCGGCAAACAACGTCATTTTACTTAACATAATTGTTTGGTTTATCTGAATTGCAATTAGCATGATGAGATTATGTACTCCAACTCAACTCAACGATTTGGGAAGCCCATGAAGGGTCAGATTCATTGATCCGGTAACAATCAATTATATTTAAGTAAAACATTGGTCCAACAAGGGTATGTTATTATCTCCTCAATGTTGTTTATGTTCAGGTTCGCTATACCACTTGCTCTGTTTATGCTCTTACAGTCGTTACCTCTGGAATCTGGTGCAAACAAGGCTCAAGCTACCACCCATGATTTACCAAGGCTGGGAAGAACTCATCAACTGGATCATGACCAAAAACATCACTTTTTCCTCCAACTCTCAAGAAGCTAGACATAAACTCTAAGGTTCACGACCTTCTCTCACTAAATACAATGTTGAACCCATCACCCCGACGGTGTAAGAAAGAGAACGTGTATATGATACAATTTGGAATGAATGTGGTACAAATACAATGTGTTGTTTTTCTGACTTGTTTTATATTATACATAATTTCGCTTGTTTTATCATGGAGATAAATTCTAAAATGTCAAACTCAATATATTTTTTGACACTTTATATTATGGAGATAAGTTTTATTTTATGACATTTTTCTAACATTCACACTCAATATATTTTTTTCACTATTTAGAGAATAAATATTTGTTTTGTTTTGTTTGTTTCAATAATGTATTATTATCATAAACCTAGATATTGCGTACAATCTTACCATTGCTATTTACTTCTTATTATACCAATTAATTTAGTCAATCATTTCTACTCAAGTATATAAAAAAAAATCAAACTTAGAACATAAAAATTACCAATCGATATTTAAATGAAATGAAAAAATCAAATAGACTTATACATGTTACATACCTTTGGATTGTATACTTCTTTTTTTAATTTGATTTTTTTTTTATCACATTCCTCTTGATTGATTGTTTTATTCAAATTTAGTCCCACTAATAACTTTTTTTTTTTTTATAAATAATTCATTTTAAATAACAAACCTAACCATGTCCAACCAAATTAAGCCAAACCAAATTAAACTAAATCAAACTGAGTTTGGTTAGAGAGTTAATGTGTTTTTTTATATCAAAATAACCGAATCAAATTTAACTCTAAATCAAACCAAAATGCCATATTTATATTTTTTTGTTTAAGTTTATATTTTTTTTTTGTTTCCATATTTGTAATACTATTACGTGGTCAAAAAAAAAAATTGTATTTAATTTGTTATTGGAATATTTCGATTACTTTGATATTTATTTTTTTAAAACTGTGAAAAGATACGGAAGTTAAAAAATTTGCATGGACCATTTGACCCAATTGGGTCAACAACAAACTAAGAAACAAATAAAAAACAGACCAGCTTTATCTATTGTTAGGTTTTTTTTTTCTGTTTTCAAGTGTTTTCTTAAATCTCAAGCTACAAACCCTATATTTATCTTCTGCAACAAGTCAGCATCGAACACTCTGATCATCTTTAATTCATCTTCTTATTTTGCTTGACCTTTCTCTTTACACGATAATGGCGAGAGATAAAGAAGAACAAAACAATGAGAACCCTTCGTCATTTATCAAGAATATTTCATTTCCATTCAACACCATTTTCTTGATCTCAACCGCAATCTTCCTCGTCACAGCCGCTTTCTGGTTCGTAACCGTCATAACATTACATTACAGGACCGATGAATGTAATCGGTTTGTCACAACTCCCGGAATCTTCATAAGCTTCTCATTGCTCGCTATGTCCCTCACTGGATTCTACGCAGCTTACTTCAAATCCGATTGTCTCTTCCGAATCCACTTCTTTATCTTCTTCTTGTGGATGTTCGTTGTCGTGTCTAAAGCCATCTTTGTCATATTTCTACATAAGGAGACCAATCCTAGGTTGTTTCCTGGTACCAAGATCCATGAGTTTAGGTACGAGGATTACTCAGGATGGGTTAGTAGATTGGTCATCAAAGACGATGAATGGTATCGTACAAGGAGATGTCTTGTTAAGGACAATGTTTGTAACAGGTTAAACCATAAGATGCCAGCTTCTGAGTTTTATCAGATGAATCTAACTCCTATACAGGTAAACGATAGTAATAGAATGTACAAAATATTTTTTGGCTGAATAAATTTTACATTCATTAAAAAAAAACGGGAGTAATAACGTAAGCTATACATTAGCTAAATCAAACCGAATCTAGTATGAATCGATTTTGATACCGGTTTTAATCATATAAAATCGGATCAATGCTTTTTATTTCATTCTAACCTTGTTTAAGTTTTTCTTACAGTCGGGTTGCTGCAAACCACCACTTTCATGTGGATTGAATTACGAGAAACCAAATATGTGGACAGTTTCAAGATATTATAACAATTTAGAAGTTGATTGCAAGAGATGGAACAATTCTGCAGATACATTATGCTTCGATTGTGATTCGTGTAAAGCTGTGATTATTGCTGATTTACATAATAATTCATTTTCCATAACAATTAACATTATTCATATCATCTTTAGTCTTTCCATCGGCATGACCGGTTGGTTTGCCTGGTTAAGGATCCTTCGAGAAAGTCAGAAATAGATTTGTTTATTTCTATAAATAATTTGTTTATTTTTCTTATTTCTTATGTATATAATCAATTTAAACCTAAATCGAGTTTAGTAACCCTTTGTTTACTTGGTTGGATTGGACTGTCCATCACCTGCCATTTCTGACTTTGCACTTTGTAGTTAGAAAGTTAATAGGTATTTTCTTCATGGACGGGCCTGAACTGGTAGATGTAATATATGAGTTTGTGAATTGTGGATTAAAGAAGATTTAGGGCTAAGATTTCTTTAGTAACACATAATGAAATTAATGTGAATGGAGCTTAAAAATGAAGAGCATGTTTATTGATGATTTTTGTGAACTACAATAAGAATTTAGAGAGGATATAATGTAATTGGGCCTTCTTATATTTTCCTTGGAATTTTATGGTATGAGTTTTTTTTATGAGATCCTTTCCAACAAAATACTCAACTAATTAACAAACTCTCTCATCTATATATCTATCAAACTCTTTCTAAAGTTATTTTTTTGTTTCAATATATCAACCAATAAATATGAAAAATGGTTATATTACAAAACAAAAAAGTAATCCAATTACTGAAGAAAATCAAACTATTTGTGATATAACAACCAAAATAAACAAAATTTGATCCAATCTCTACTATGTATTTAATCTATATATAGAGTCCAATTAAAGAAACACGAGACCGGCATGTACGCATTTCTGTTTCCCTTCTATTATCTCAAACAACCAACCCCCAATTTCTAAACACAATTCTCTATTTTTGCCTCCTTTATTGTTTTTTACTTTCAATTTTTATTATTTTTAAAAAAATCTATAAGATAAGATACGAGTTAGGAGTATCATGCGATACGAGTTAATTAGAAGTAACACATGTGACCGACCCCTCTCTCCCCACCATTCTATCGACCTTAATCCTTATAAACATCATGCTTTTTTGTACGAATTAGAATTTTATAACAAAAATAAAGTAAAAGTGATCAAACTCTTACGCTCAATGCTTTATAATCTTAGTTGAGTTCTTAAATATTATGTTGATTCTTGCAACTACGTCAATGTACTCACACGATTATTAATGTTTACTTCAACATTTCAGTTTCCTATACGGCTATACCCGTTGTGACATGGACACTCGAATTTTGCAGGACTTATGTTAGACTATTTTATTCGGCGAGGTAAGAAAATCGCATAAGTCTCGAAAAATATGAGTGTCCGATCGGACTGGATAAGGGAAAATTCCAGCCTCTTGGAGAAAGCATTGTATTCGTGTTCGTGCAAGCATGTCAACTTAAATAATTTTGCTATAAATTGTTGACCGATGTGTTTCTTTAATTTTTACGGTAACATTGGACTAGCTAAGTACTGACTAAGGAATGTCATGTAATTTGTTAGAAACTAATGCACGTCAGCTTCTGAGGTTCCGTGTAAAAGATTCTCATTTTGTCCTAAAATGAAACTCTTCCCTTTGATTCCTTTTATTCCTAAAACACATTTTTTCTACATCTTAGAGAGGTAAAGGCAATATAATCTCATGGCGATGTCGATCTCCGGTAGTGTGCTTAATGGTTTGGGTTCTTCGTTCTTGATCAGCCGAGGCAAGAGAAGCGGTGTTGGCCTAGTAGCTACGAGGGTTGGGCGGAAGAATGTGATCATTTCACCTAAGTTCAAGAAGTCGTGGGTTCCGACAGCCGTCAAAGGTGATGGAAACTCAAAACTCGACCCCAAATGGCTCGACGATGCCTCGTAAGTCTATATATAGTAGGAGTTACTTGAGATCAACATAGATTTTGGGATCAAAAACTCTTATATCATAGATGATGATATCATTTGGTGAATATTGATTGTTCTCATACTATTAAAAGAGATATTAATTAAGATAACACATTATAATTTGGTATATATGTTTCACCATCACATATTTTAGTCATTTTTGTCAAATTTAAATCAATTTTTAGTTAATTGTTTAGAAAAACAAATTGTTGGTTTTTTATTTAATTGAAAATTAATTCTTTTAAGATTTTTTTTTGGGTAAATTTATGAAACGCTAAGGATATAATTTTCCTTTCATACATTTTAAAATAGAGTTAACTATTTACCGAAATAGCTAAGATGAAAAATAGAAATAACCATTTTGTTCATTATAATAATTTTGTAAAATTTTCATACACACATAAAGACAGAAAGCATCCGAGTGCGTGAAGGATAAGGGAAGCGAAGTAGGACATGTGTCTGCTCAAAAAGGACAAGAGGTTAATGATCATATAGAGAGAGCGAAGTACTATATGTTTGAGAAAGCTAGTGAAGCAATCGACAATGTGGCTGAAATTGCTCAGTTTGCTTCGGAGTTTGTGACGGAGAAAGGCAAAGAGACGAAGAAAGAAACTGCTTCGATGTCCGAGAAAGCCAAAGACTTCATCGTTGAAAAAGCCGGAGAAGTTATAGATATAGCCACGGATGTTAGCAAGAAAACGGCTAAGTACGTCGGAGAAAAAGCAGCGGAGGTTAAAGAAGCTATAATGCCTCCAAAACCTTAAGTATATATATATTTGATGCAGCCCTAAACAAATAAAGATTATTGAGGCAATGTAGCAAAAGGATGTATTATTATGCGAGATAATGAAACTTTTATAGTCAGAACTCTTATAAATTGAACTTGATATATATACTATATATATATATATATATTTTTTTTTACATCTGCTTTATTAATTAAGAAGATCGACAAATGTTATCAGCATGTATAGCTTGACAAATGTAATTTTGTTTTACTTTATTTTTCTAACAAATTACGTATAATCAAGCAAAACCGATTTAAGACCGAACAAATGAGAAAATACACGGTTGCAGTTCAATTTGACAAAAACCGGTAATAACATATTAACATTACATTTTCAAACCCGACCCAGACCCGCCGTCGCAATGGTAAATCCAATGACCATGTGACTAATCCGGTTTGGGTTCAATGCTAAAATCCGGTTATAGGTTTGTGGTAAATTAGCTTTGTCTTTACTAGGAGAACTTGTATGTAAGTTGTAACAAAATAGCCCATTTGCTAAGAAGCTAAATTTAGTTGTAATTTCTATTCTGATGATGTTTATCTTCTTAGATAACTGAATAATTGTATTATGATTTTATTAATTCCTAACTAATATATACACAAATTCTGGAGTTGTGTTTGAGAACCATATCCCCTTCCAATTTTATTTTCGGTTTAGCTCGGTTTATGGTTCAATTTACGGTTTAGTTCAAATAATATGGGGACCATGGTTAGGGATTTAAACCAGAGTCCACAACGAGATCATCAGAGTTAAAGAAAGCGTCACTGCGACTATTTTGACTGACTCTGATTTTTCGCGGCGACTCCTTGTGAGATTCTCCGATTGCTTCGCCTGAGCTTCTCTGGGTTTTACTTCGTCACTTCGATCTTTGCTTTTCCGGTGAGGTTTCTTCATCCACTTGTTGATTTCCTTATTGATTTCCGAATTTCTACATTTTTCGAATCCACTTGGGGCCAAAGAATTGCAAACCCTAATTTTGAATTGCCGTCGTATTGAATTGCATCGATCGATCTTCATACTTTCGTTGAAATTCGTCTTAAAGTATAATCATTAACTCTATTCTGAACCAATTTGATTTTCGTTTTTCTGCAGATTTTTAGGGTTTTTTCTTTGGGGAATTTCTGTTGAAGACTTTGCTGTAACATGGTAAATTTAACCTAAATTGATGTACAATAGTATCATTGTTATATGAAACGAGTTAATTCTTCGATTTTCGCTATATTTTTTCACAGTCTGGAAGAAAAGAAACGGTTTTAGATTTGGCCAAGTTTGTGGATAAGGGTGTGCAAGTTAAGCTCACTGGTGGTAGACAAGGTAAAGGAAGTGTTTCTGATTGTGCTGCAAAGATGGTTCTTTTTTAACTCTTTCTCTGAGATGTGATAGTTGCTATGTATTTGCTTGCAGTGACTGGAACTCTAAAAGGCTATGACCAATTGCTTAATCTTGTTCTTGATGAAGCAGTCGAGTTCGTTCGAGGTATCTCTTATCTTACCATATCTACTGCATTGATCTTGTTAGGCTATCTGAATCCATGTGTATGTGTATGTATGTAGACTACAATTCTCTAGTGGAATCCGCCTCTTAGTAAAAGAATCTCTGTATTGCATTGAATGTGATTACTCTGGTGGTTCATACATATGTCTCCATGATGCGATTGGTAGATATATAATTTTTGATTAGAAGAGACTGTTTGATTGCTTAATCATGTTATGTTGGTGATATGAATGGGATAATATCATTCTTTTAGCTATTATTTTGAAACTAGAAATGGGATCATATTTCCATAGATCTATTGACTTTTATGACCGTTGTCTTATGTTTTGATCAGATCACGATGATCCTTTGAAGACTACGGATCAGACAAGACGCCTTGGTTTGATTGTATGACTCTTTTACCTTCTTTTTCATTACTATAAGTGTAAACCTATATAATGCAATTACACGAGCTTTCTTACTTCTGGTTACAATTTGGCATCTTGTTGCTTGTAATGGAATTTCATAGGTTAGATTCTAAATCATAATGGTTTGTGTGGTTTTTAGGTTTGCCGTGGAACAGCAGTGATGCTTGTCTCACCAACCGATGGCACTGAAGAAATCGCTAACCCGTTCGTTCAAGCAGAAGCTGTCTAAAGACTTTCTTCCCAAACAATATGTCTCTCTATTAGTTTAACTTGGCGATTTAGAGAGTATTTTATCTGACTCTCTCGTGTGATGTTGGAAACATATATGTTCAATTTAAACTATTTGGAACATCATGGGCACTTCTTCTTGTTACCTAACTTGAATTTAGTTGCGTTCTCAAATCTCATTTTGAGCTCTTTTCACTACTTTAACCTAAAAACCAGAACCGAAGTAAACCGGAAAATCGAATGCCCAAGCCTACTCGTTACTGAGCCATGAATTTATAGTGAGTGATTTGAGCTTTTTTGAAGTTGTTTGCATAGTTTGTGGTGGATATGATGAAGTCAGTAACGTCAACGATCAAACTCTTTAGACCAGTCCTCACGTTACGTTGTTCTTATAGCTCCACCGATCAAACTCTTCTTCTTAACGAATTTACCAGACTCTGTTACCAGAAAGACCTTCCCAAAGCTATGAAAGCAATGGATTCGTTACAAAGCCATGGTCTTTGGGCAGACTCTGCAACTTATTCTGAGCTTATCAAATGTTGCTTGTCTCATAGAGCTGTTCACGAAGGGAACCTCATTTGTCGTCATTTATACTTCAATGGTCATCAACCAATGATGTTTCTGGTTAATGTATTGATCAATATGTATGTAAAATTCAATCTTTTGAATGATGCTCACCAACTGTTCGACCAAATGCCTCAAAGGAATGTTATTTCTTGGACTACGATGATTTCGGCATATTCTAAGTGTAAGATTCATCAGAAGGCTTTGGAGCTTTTGGTTTTGATGTTGAGAGATGGTGTGAGGCCTAATGTGTATACTTATTCCTCTGTTTTGAGAGCTTGTAATGGTATGTCTGATGTTAGAATGCTTCATTGTGGGATTATTAAGGAGGGTTTGGAGTCTGATGTTTATGTTAGGAGTGCTTTGATTGATGTGTTTGCTAAACTGGGTGAGCCGGAGGATGCTCTTTCGGTTTTCGATGAAATGGTTACGGGTGATGCGATTGTTTGGAACTCGATTATTGGTGGGTTTGCTCAGAATAGTAGAAGCGATGTAGCTTTGGAGCTTTTTAAGAGGATGAAAAGAGCTGGTTTCATTGCGGAGCAGGCTACGTTGACTAGCGTGTTGAGGGCTTGTACTGGTTTGGCTCTATTGGAGCTTGGGATGCAAGCTCATGTTCATATCGTGAAATATGACCAAGACTTGATACTCAACAACGCACTAGTGGACATGTATTGCAAATGTGGGAGCTTGGAGGATGCTCGCCGTGTGTTCAACCAGATGAAGGAGAGAGATGTGATTACATGGAGCACTATGATTTCAGGGTTAGCACAAAATGGTTATAGCCAAGAGGCACTGAAGTTGTTTGAGCTTATGAAATCTTCTGGGACGAAGCCAAACTACATTACGATTGTCGGGGTTCTCTTTGCTTGCAGCCACGCAGGGCTCCTGGAAGATGGTTGGTACTACTTCAGATCAATGAAGAAACTTTATGGAATCAATCCAGGGAGGGAACATTATGGTTGCATGATTGATCTGCTAGGAAAAGCTGGAAAGCTCGACGACGCAGTGAAGCTGTTAAATGAAATGGAGTGTGAGCCAGATGCTGTGACATGGAGAACTTTGCTCGGTGCTTGTAGAGTTCAAAGAAACATGGTGCTAGCGGAATATGCAGCTAAAAAGGTTATAGCACTCGATCCCGAGGATGCAGGTACTTACACAGTGTTGTCTAACATATACGCAAACTCTCAGAAATGGGACAGTGTTGAAGAAATTCGAAAGCGAATGAGAGACATAGGAATCAAGAAAGAACCTGGATGCAGCTGGATCGAAGTAAACAAACAGATTCATGCTTTTATCATTGGAGACGAATCTCACCCACAGATAGTTGAAGTCAATAAGAAGCTGAACCAATTGATACATAGACTCATTGGTATTGGTTATGTTCCTGAAACAAACTTTGTGCTACAAGATCTTGAAGGAGAACAAATGGAAGATTCACTTAGACATCACAGTGAGAAACTAGCTTTAGCCTTTGGCTTGATGACATTACCTAGTGAGAAAGTCATTAGGATCAGAAAGAATTTGAGAATATGTGGGGATTGTCATGTGTTTTGCAAGCTCGCATCGAAGCTTGAAAACCGCAATATCGTTATAAGAGATCCGATCCGTTACCATCATTTTCAGGATGGCAAATGTTCTTGTGGTGACTATTGGTAACAATCATATGTCTTTAGGTTACAATGAAACAGTGTAAGATGGTTTAGTAGATTGTTTCTCTGTAAGTTTTCTTCATCAAATTTTTGATTAGTGAATCATGTTTGCTTGTGAAGAAGCTCATTGATTTGCCAAATTTTTTGATAGGATTCTGTAACATTTGCAAAATTGAATATTTATGATTAAATTAAAATTGGTCACTGGAATATAGTACTACACTAATTTGTGATAACCGAAAAAAAAAAAAATTGATGAATGTAATTTTCTATGTTGCATGGAAACTCTCTTCGAGGTCCGTTTCTCGTTTCCGAAACGTTTCGAAAACGGAAACTCTTCGGAAACACGAAAAACGTCACGGAAACACGTTTCCTAAAAATCTATGTTTGGAAACACGATGGAAACTCATGTTTCCAAAATGGAAACGCGATAAATTCTTTTTATTGACTTTGGAAACTTAATAAATAAAAGTTAAAAAATATTAAAATTTATAATACATATAACTAATTTTGGAAGACTATGAGTTTTAAGATCTTTGTATCGACAAACTAGATTTGGAGGCATCTTTATATGATCTATGATGAAACTAATAAAAATAAAAATGAAAATGTTGGTCTAAATTAAATATTTGAAGTTGAATCTTTTAATCTTTATCTTTTAAAATTTTAGTTAACCTATTTAATATTGATGTTTTGGACTTGTATTGTTTAATTAAACCATTTTTATAGTTTTATATTAATGTTATATATATACATATATTATATATATGTATGTGTATACGTTTCCAAAACGTTTCCAATCCCTAATTTTAGAAAAAAATTGTTTACCGTTTCCGAAACGTTTCGCTTCCACGTTTCCGTTTCCGTTTCCATGCAACATAGGTAATTTTACATTCATACAAAAAAAAAAAAAAAAAAAAAAAATTCTTAACAATTACTTGTTTTTAATTATTTCCTATATAGTTGAGTTAATGGGAAGACACTACTGCACATGGATGTGGATCATGTATCATAATTTATGCTTAATCTCTCTTTATTTTTTATCAAATAAAATAGTCAAAAGTGTTCAAACCTGAATTTTGCATTATGGAGACAACCAAGATCTTTTATGTCCAAAGTGGTTTAATCTCATTATATAATATGATTCACTATTACTCATGTGGACTTAAAAGTGCCATCGTAGTCGCTTTATTCATTCGATACCTAATGGACTTCATAATTAAATTGGTATTATTTTTTATGACTTTTCATTGAAATATTTATATTCTCTTTTTCATTATTAATTCTTCAGTTATCTTTTAAACAAGATAAAATATGTTTTATCAATATCTTATTTTAATTTAACTCCAAACAGAATTTTATTTAAAAAATTTATAGTTAAAAAAAAAATTAAGTGTATTGTGGAAGTCGAAACTAACACAATCGAGATTTGTCTAGGGTTTTAATTTAGGGATACGATAAAACGTGAATTCTCAAAGAACAACAGAAACGATTGTAACCAAAGATGGTGTTCTTGATTTTATTGATGAAAAGAGTAGTTTTGATCGTACAAGAGTTTGATCGTAAAAGAAAAGATGTTTGTGCTGTGAGAGCTGTGTAGTGTAAATTCTAGAGCGATGTTGCTTGCCCTTCTGTGTGAGCCTCGAGTCTCTATATATAGGGATGATAAACCGCCTCTCCAGCGATATTCTCGGAAGATTTCCATTTATCATGGAGTCGGCTTGGAATATCGCGGATTTAGGATAGTTTCCATATTCTTCGGAGTTTCTTGGAAGATTTCCTGATTTGAATCGATCCTTCGAGATTCTTCCTCATCATTTCCGGGTCTATCGGAAATGATCCCTCTTTTTCGGAAATGATGTCTTGCTTGGAAATGATACTGTGAAGACAACTATTTACTAAGTCTTTGCCTCGGGCGGTTGATGATTTCGCCTCGGAGAACTTGTGTAATCGGCTCGGGTATACAACAGAGACCAGCTCGGGTATCCCGAGCTGTCTTGTTCGAGTACCCCGAGGCGATGTGGCTCGGGTGTCCCCAATGTTGTGTCCGGGTACCCCGAGGCGATGGGCTCGGATACCGCAAGATGATGGGCTCGGGTACCCTAGGCTAATTAGGTGGATAACCGGAGGTGGATGATGCGTTATCCCGAGATGATCTCTGTAAAACTCCCGAGGTGTTCTAAGTCTGGCTCGGCGCCAAAGGATGGAATCCGACCCCAACAGGTATTTGTTAAATGCAAATGTTGAAATTCCTACCAAAAAATAACAATGAAAATGTTAAAATCCCTTTCTTTTTTTTTTTATCGTCTACATTTATTATTAATTGCAAATTATGAGAACTGTTACCTAGACGATTCTACAACTGACAATTCCTTCCGATCCTTACTAGATTTACGACAGACTACACTTCTTTCTTCGTAATCTTGATGAATACCTTCAATGATCCACAACCTGGCGACACTTCCTTCTCTGCGTAGAATCCTGGCGAACGGCTATAATTGTACATCGCTGGAGATCTCTTGCACACTTGCCTCCATTAATCTGCAAATTTGTTAATAAATCGCAATACCTGGGACTTGAACCCCATACCTTTTGGTGTAGAAGCATTAATCAACCCTTGGTCAACCAATGGGCAAGGAGGCTTCAACATGTTAAAATCCCTTTTAAAAAAAATAATGTGAAGGGGAAGAAGTAATTTGTTAAATGCAACTAACACGTAATTTATGATATATGAACTTGATTTGTAATTAATTTACTTGTCAGTTGCAACTAGCTAATTTCAACTTCATTTTAAGTATGGGCTTTAAAATGATAAGGCCCAATTTTGTAGGTCCATGTCATTACTAAATCCTATTAAAACCACGTCGGCATTCTCATCCTTTGCCACGTACCATTTCTAGATCGGACGGTAAAGATTCCATAAGAATCTACAATCGAACGGCTCTAGTTGCCTGTTCT